CCGTCATCATCTTTCATTGGTTTCGTCTGCGTTGATCTCTTTCCAGATGGATAGTAACCTGGTTATTTGATACAATCTCGTCAGGTCTCTTACCTGCAGCCTGTTCTGCTTCACTTGCCAGTGTTTCGTAGAATTGTCTTTTGTCTTTGCGTGCACTCTTCTTCACTTCTTTGTTCAGTGTAGTGTTTTATACATTGTACTCAGTTCCTCTTGTCGTTTGAGCATCCTTGCACTGGTTTATCTTCTGCTTCACCATCCTCCTCTCCTCTATCAGCTTCCATGTATCCATTGAGATCCATTCCAGTCCTTGTCTTCTTTCTTCTTCCTACCTAATACAGCTGTGCAGGTTTCTTTGCACATCTCTTTCAAAGACTTCGAGTGTTCTTCCACACAGGTTTCTTCAAGGATGTTCCTCGATATCTCCCATTTTGTCTTGATGGCTGACTGATGTGAAGATTTCCTCTGTAGTTTCATGCTTCTGTTTCCGGGTGTTGTACTTGAACTGTGGTCTATCACCAGCTTCCTTCAAGACTTTCAAAATGATTTTGAAGGTAGACTTCTTGCACTAGATAGTGAGTGGTGTAAACCTACATGTGCTCCCCTTCTTCATCTCTTGTCCAGTAGACTACGTCTTCATTTTCTTGGGATTGAGATAAAGTCGATCTGATTTTTAGTGTGTCCATCTAGTGAAATCCATGTCGCTTTGTGGATATCCTTGTGCTTGAACACACTGCCTGACTCCAATTACCAAATCGTTGGATGCACGGAATTCGGCAAACTATTCTCCATTCTCGTTCATCACCTCACCGAGAGCTTCTCGACCCATGGTTAGTTCTCTTCCTGTGTTGTCCCCTCCCAGTTTGGTATTCATGTAGCCCATTAGAATTTTGATATCGCCAACTGAGGTGAGGTCTTGTCCAGTGTTGCTTGAAGTTGTCTGTAGAATTCCTCCTTTTTCTCTTGCTCTGCATTATTTGTAGGTGCGTAACATTGTATGACTGTGACTTTGCTTCCTTTCGAGTTGAACCTTGCTGTCATGATCCTGGAGGAGATTGGTTCCCACTGCATGAGGACCTTCTATGCTGTTGGGAGGGGGACATCATGATAGTTACTCCAAGACTCAGTGTGCTCGTGGTTGTCGTGTGGGTGACAATATCGGAGGAGATTATTGACTTCTCTCCAATTGACAGTTTGGAGAGTCCACTCCCATTCCATCTGCTTTCGCAAATTCCAAGCACGTCACTGTGATACCTCTTCATCTCATTTGCAATCTGGGCTGTCTTGCTGGGTTCAAACATCGTGTGGACATTCCATGTCCCCACGTTTACTTTCGCTTTCATCGAGGGAGAGAAGACACCTCGGCGCGGCCAATTGGCTTCCTGAAGGCTTTCACCAACTGGCGTCATGTCACCTCTCCGATTCCAGGGAGGAATAATTTTGTTATTATTTTTTATATTTTGTTTGTGCTTTGAAGTTTGTTTAGCGGTTAGATTTGTTTTGCGTGGTAGTGTTGCTAGCCCTATGCCCAACCTTTCCTGTTTACCCCGGGCTTAGGACCGGCTGGTAACTAGTGAACTAGTTAACCAGGCGAGGTTAATCTCACCTTTTGGTTGAAGTAAATATGCTTTCAATCCCACCCTCTTCTTTTGGTGTGAACTGAATATCGTGTTGAGAGTTCATTGTTCTACCACTAATCGTATCGCGTCGAAGCATTTTATCCTTCATATATACCGCAGATTAAGACACCTGTCATCCCTCAAGTTCCCATACACCATCAGCCATCCACACTTTTGATTTCTAACCTTTCTTAACGCTTCTCGGTCAATATTCTGACGTCTTTTTCAATCTCCTCCAGCTTTGCAGCCCTTGATTACTCACGCTCATACTGGAGCATGTGTTTGGTGAGCAGTCACGCGTTGGTTCGAACACATAATTGAACATAAAGAAATTTCAGTTGCAAGTCCGTTCCACGCGCAGCTCGATGGTGCTGTTTTTCACCCAGAAGCTTACTAGTTGGTCGTTAGAACAGGACAACACTCATCCATAGGTAACCTGATGTAATCTCCAGTGTGCTGTAAAAATAGCGTTGAGGGCCGTAATTGACTATCAGAAGAAAATTAAAAACACCCCATGAAACTCAGCAGGTTCTGAATTGGTGGATGCATGAGAACGCATTCTTGCAGGCTGCGACAACAACGAAGAACGGAAGCAACTCAAGTGTAGATTGTCAAGAAGTCTACACAATGACCGCGAACAGTGATGGGCAGCGAAGACTAAGTAGATGACGAAGGCTGCGGCGATAAATAACAGTAGGCAGTTACTTACACTAATCGAGGAACCTGGGGCAAAATGGTTAGTGTTTATTGAGACTTAAGCGGAGAAAGGTGTGTAATTTACTCAGTGAAGTTAAATGATATGATGGGCGAAACACTTCGGCGAATATTTCAAGTGACCTCCAGCTACTATTCCGTTATTGGTTATGCTTAATAGAACACAGACATAGACCCTCCAACTGCTGCAAAAGTTGAGAAGGCTGTAAGTATCCTGCAATGAGGAAGAGCACTATGGTTAGATGAGATAGCACCAGAAGTACTTAAGGATGATGGTCGAGGATTATTGGTTGGATTGACTAAGTTGTTTGTATATGGAACTCAGGTATAATCCCCTCTGACTGGTCTCAGTTTTGGAGAAACTACAGAAATTTTTCTGTGATCAACTCGACGAATATAATGCCTAAGACTGTAGGTCCTATTACTTCGAACACCTAAGCGAAGCTTGAAAACACCAAACGCAAATCGGACAGGTTCCAGACCTAGTCATGAGTGTGTTGACCGTATATTTGTCCTCTGTCAGTTCCTCGAACACTGACATACCTATCGGTATTCGACACTGTGTTTTCTGATCTGAAGGCAGTCGATCGAAAACTCATAACTATTTTCCATTATGAAGTGTACCTGCTAAGTTCATCATTCTTTTGAAGTTTCCATTTGAGCCTGTGGTGAGGTATCAGGTGAGTTGTGTACGTCAGTTGATATCGGTCAAGGATGTCCACTGTCTTCATTCTTCTTAGGTTTATCACAGATCTGCCTATTAAAGTCATCCTTTAGTCATCTGACTTTACACGGATTGGAATTCTTTAAAAAGACTTCTTAGTAGATCTAGAGTATGCAAATGACATAGTCCTGTCATGTGAAGACGCTGACAAAAAGCATAATCTGATTTGACTGGCAATTTGAGAATGTTTAGGATGTGTTTCTCAGTACATGCAAATTGTTGCTCCAGGACCGGCCTACGTTAGTATGCCAACTAGCATGGTACTGAAGTGGTCGAATCAGCTTTTGTGGGTCAGTGACTGGCAAAATCCCAGTGCGTATCCGGGGGTTCGGTTGGCTTCTACCCAATCACCATCTATGGGACCACAGTGATATCTGATCGCCCATTATAGGTCGAGTGTACTGCCCTGCAGTTCTCTCCGTTCTTCTAGATGGCTATAAAACATCACAATTCAAGGCAAAAGATACGAAAAGGCTTCAGGTGTTCAACAGCTTTTACCTTCTTAGCGTAGGCAGTGTCAGAATAACACCACGTCAGGTCAGACGTGGGATTTTAGATGAGAGAGGTAAGTTAGTTGATGGTGCTGTACATTCCCACTGACTGGGATAGCTGAAACTTGTGTTACACATGTCTAGTCACTGTCTACTCTGTCACACAATATTGGCTGGAGAAGGTTTAGAATGGAAAAAGGTTAGAGGCGGACAGATTGAAACATGGCATCGTTGCATTATGTCTTTGACTGTTGATCCGAGCCATATAGGGAAATGTAGACTTCCCAGTGGTGGTCCGCATGACAACAGAAACCGGTGGTTGGAGACTAGACAGTGTGACTCCGAATCTGTCTCGTTAGCCCAGATATATCCACACATTGTCATTATCTATGTTTCATTCCTTTTTATTCGCTCTTCTTAACTTTCTACCACTTTAACTATTTTCTTCAATACTTCTCTATATTATTGGTGTATTGTACTTTCATCTACTGATTTGAAGCGTGGTAACTTGAACAGTTATGAATGTCAGGTTCTTCGTTCATGCCCACTAACTACGAGAATTTGTGACGCTTTTGACGAAATACAAACTTTTTTCGATAAAATGCTGGTATGTACGTTTTCGTCTATCTAACCATAATCTTCAGAACAATTTTGTGTAATTTCAACCTCAACTCAAATCAGTAGCCAAGTCTAATTTCTTGCACTGCTCTATGAACTACCCAATGGATGGTTTTTTGATAATATTGTTCTCTTGCTGCTTAAACCTCAGCGTATAGAGTGAGGTTTAAACTCGTTTGACTCTACTGGTTGAAGGTTCAGTACCTAAGCCATATCATTTGTTTAAATGAGTTTTCCTCTAGTCCGAGACTACACAAGTCTTGTGCATTGATCGTTGTACTGTTGATTAGCAGATTCGCCAGAACTAATATAAAAACCAACTTTATGCTCAACATTGTTATTATACGATCCCCTATCTTTGTTTATCTTTCAGGTAGACATTTTTGGTTTACGTCATTGTTTGCTTTGTGATACTTACTACTGGACTCAACTGCTTGTTTCTTCATAATGGATGCCAATTTACCGGTTCTCTATCCAAACTGTGGTATCCTACCATTTTGTTCCATGAGTGTAAACCAGGCAGAATATCCAGAAATGAGTCCCACTGCCCGTGGCTTAACTTCATGCCCTTATCATCATGATTCCCAGAATGGAAAGATGAGCTTATATGATCTTAATGAGCGGCATGCATCCGATAAAAATACGTTTATTTGTCCCAGGTGTAGCAGCTGCTGCTCTGAAAATGTGAATTGGTGTTTTGACTGTGGAGAGCTATTAATTGGCGCCAGGGATTGTTCTCCAAGAGAAAGAAATTGTAAAGAGAATCATTTATCTCTAAATTTCAGTTGCACGCTGCAGAAGGATAATATAGCGAATGCAAATGGATTTTCGCGCAATATGTCTTCAAGTATACCAGCCGCTTTCCATCTATCATATGGAAAAGATATACAATTTCCCAATCTAACTAGTTATTCCCGTCATTCATTATTATCTGGATCAGAAACACCTTTTGCTGGAGCGTCTTACCCAACACTGTCTGCATTCCCATCAGGAAGCTTAGAGACGCAAAGTACAAAATGGGACGATTTCTCTTTCTCATTACCAAAACACACAGAACCAGAATGTAACACTACTAAGACGAATAATTCTTTATGCATTCCTGTTGAACATTTACGTACGACATTTAACCATCTTGGTGTGACTCCCGCCATTTCTACAGAACAAGCACAATATGGAGCTCGAGTGAATGGGGATTATGTGAATTCTGCCAACGCTTGTAACTTCAACGCGAATTTCTGTCCAAGAAAAA